CCGGTTTAGGGGCCCTCAAATGAGGTCAATGTGGGTTCTCAGCGGTCAATGTGGGCGCTTGACCGCCACTGAAGGGCCCTCCGAGATCAGTGTAGGACCCTCAAAGACTGGTTTGGGAGCTGTTAATAGCTAGCGTGGGATTCTTGAGTCTCGTGACAATCGAATAAGGGCCAGAGCCCCATACGCCCATGGGGGCCCATTGGTTGTTTGGGGGGGCCAAATGATATGATGGCCCCCTGATTAGCCTTTGGAGGGGGGAAGGGCATGGCCCTGATCCCCCTCTGCGACCGCCACTGCACTGAAAGTGGAAGGGGGAGGGGCAGAAACAGACATTGCTGGCCCCCAGGCTGTTTGAACCGAGGCTGAGGCACGGTCACCCTGGCCCCCAGCTAGTACGCCTTTGACGAACTATGCCGACCCCAAGCAGATAAGGTCAAGCATTGGTCGTTTGTATACGCATTCTCCTGCACCGTGCTAGTATTGTCTTAGTATTCTGTATTGCCTATACCTTTTTAGTGCTCGCTGTCCCGCGCCTCGTATTCAACAAAATGTTGTCACCAGGACTCACAGTCTTGTCTCTGATATGGTTTCCTTCATTGAGTGAAGGAAATTGCGGCCAATAACGCTGTAGAAACAAAAAGGAATCCTCATTAAAGGGCAAGCTGAATAGTTGTCAAGTTACCGGGTGGTAGGTTAGGTACAGACAGCAAAAAGTGGGGGGGCCAGTTAACATTGCTGGCCCCCCCACCTCCGAAAGTGGGGGGGCCATGGCCCCCCCGGCCCCCCCTGTTCCTACGCCTATGTACTTTTGCATGATAAATGTTTCATCAGAGTTCCGCCTCATTGATGCGTGTCAAAGGATGGCCACCAAGCAAGCCACCAAGTATGTATGTGGATGGACCACAAATACATGCCTTTTGTCTTTTTGTGATCTATGTATGTACATACTATGTAGATAACAATGCAAGGCGTTCCCACGGTCATGTTAACATGCGTGTTCTTATAGGTAGTTCCGTTTCAAGTTTGCAGCCGAAGTGCCCTGCTGAAAGCAGTGCGTGATTTCTGTATATACAACTCTTACATTTTAACCCTCGCACGACCAGGCCATTTCTCATAACACGAACGACCAGGGGGGGGGGGGGTTGTTACGACCCCCCCCCTGGCGTTTCGAAACGGAAGGTCGTAGAGCTTAGCGGAAAAAACCAACGGATTGCTCTCAACGAGATCTCGCGATTGGTGGTATATTTTTTGGTCCTAGGTCAACATTTGACCTACTTTTGACCGGTCAAAGGTCAAATTTTCGGTAAAATAGACTTTTTTCAACTTTCCGCGGCGATTGCGGCAAAACGGTGAGAGATATCGACTTGAAACCTTCACTATCGTGTTCCTCGATCAATTCTCTATCGTTTGGTATGTATTTCGTTTCCCTAGCTCTAAAAATGGCGCGTTGGGAGCGCCGGAAGTCGGCAAGGTCACAGTCGGCGGCAGAAATTCGAAAAATCAAAATTTAAATTTTTGAAATCTGATTGTATTTTCGGATTTGGGAGGTCCATTTGCTCCCTGTAGAAGCTAATATTGCTGCATATTCCCATTGAGGTGACACGAATTAGCAAAATAGTGGTTCGGGCGCTTTTCAAAAATAGTACCGGACGCTGTTCCTCTTATGACGTCATAACTCCGTGACCTGACCTGACCCGGTCAATTTTCTTGCACCACACGATAGCCAATGCTTGCCCCAACATGCATGGGAAGTTTCATCATGATCCATCAAACAATGTGGGTATCACCGGCAGAAAACCTAGGGATTCGGCGCACACGTTTGGTAACTGTCGGCCGGAGGCTGTACCTCTTATGACGTCATAACTCCGTGACCTGACATGACCCGATCAATTTTTTTCGGCAAAAGATGCGCAAAGGTTGCCCCAGAGGGTATTGAAAATTTCAGCCCGCTACGACAAGCCGTTTAGCGTGCACTTCGAAAAAACCTCAGGGGGGGGGGTTGATACAACCCCCCCCCCCCCTAGGCGTTCTAGGGTTAAGACGCAAATTCTTGAGCGGAGGAGCGATCTGCCGAAGAAACTCCAACTGCAAGCTTGATATGGAACAGACTATAGACGCTGTTTCACGAATAGTTCAAGTCGGCGATTATAATGTTATTTGCGAAAAGCGATAATACCCGCTCGAGGTGTTTGACGTGACCTCTGATGTCACTTGTTTATCTGAGACCCTAAAATTGGGTATCATCTGATTTGTCTTTTAGTGGGCAGCATGCCTATTTTCAAGTTTGTTTGTAGGTAAATATATTTTTTTTACGGATAGCCTACGCGCGAATTGGTATGAATTAAGGTATAAGGCTTCCTCAAAACTTGTCATGTTTATGCCCCTTTTTGGCTCTCCTAACTTGACGATGAGCCATGACGTTCTCTGTCATACCTAGTGGAGCTGGATACTTCCATTTCGCGTCTAGCTATAGACGCGTCTACATGTTAGTCGCCAGTTGGACGCCAGTGGAAGTATCCACCCATAGGTATGTTTCAGTTTTTTTTAGGTGGGATCAAAAGCGCAGTTATTGGACAGTGACAGCGTCTGCGTTTATGACCTTGACCTGATGGCGATTTGGCCTAATGTCACAAAAAGTCAGTCTTCGTATTATTTCTAGGTCATATGTTACACACTACACAACAATGTTCGCTATTTACATCTAAAACTCTATTCTCAGCACCTGTTTGAAGTTTACGTCTGCCACGTCGAAATTTGCCGTGCAAGAGTCTATAGGCCAATTTTTGTACTTCAAAAGATATCGAATTGTGGTAGAAAAGATATTGAAAGTTTCGGGCTTCTTTCTCTAAGCGTTTGGAAGCTATCGCAAAATATCGTACTGACAAGCGAGCGCAAAAACTCGCACTCGAATAGGATAGTCTTCCGAGAGCCAAAGAACGCTAGTTCTTATCCCGACAAATGCGTCTTTATAAAAGTACATAGTTAGGTACCCCAAGAAATGCGCTCTAACAAACGAATATTTTCCACCGTAGGTAATATTTATTTATGACAAACGCACCATTGTATTTGCAGAAACAACACGATCACTCGCAATTACATAAACGTATCACTCAGCATTCAGTAAAACAAGCAAATAAATTAATGTAACTTAAAGCAACAAACAACACAACATACTGATCCAACAACAGGAAACCCGCATTTGCATGCCTTTCGGGAACATCGTCACAGACACAATGTCAGCTATTCACAATGCGATACACTTCGCATGCCGCCTAGCACTTGTATATCGAGCCGCTACACGCCGCTCCGTTAAGTTCGGTAACCTGACTCCGTGTCGGGCCGACCCAGGCTGGTTCGGAGAGCTGACTTCGAGTCGGGCCGACCCGGGCGCAGCTCAGCAGCAGCTGGCCGGAGCCCAGCGCAGCTCAGCAGCAGCTGGTCGGGCCTGCTGGCCGGGGACCGGCGCAGCTCAGCCGCGGTGCAGCAGCAGCTGGCCGGGCACCTGCTGGTCGCGCCGGCGCGTCAGCAGGTCCGCCAGCGGCCCATCGCTCGAGCTCGGGCGGCGGGGGTGAGCCGAGGGGGGCAGGCCCGATCCCGGCCTCGCAGGCAGGCGCTGGCCGAACTGGCCAGGTCCCGGACGGAAGCCGGGCGGAGGTCGTGACTGGAACCCGGTCGGGGGCGGCCGCCGGAAGCCGGGCGGGGGCCGCCGCTGCAGCTCCGGCCGCGGCCTCGGTCCGTCGGGGGACGATTCGGACGGCCTCTGCTGAAACTCAACTGGGTGCCTGTCCTGGTCCGGAGCGCCGGAAGGTCGGGCTCTCGGTGGCGCCCTCGTCTGCTCGTCGGTCTCAGACGGTCTCTGCTGGAACCCGAACGGGGGCCTACGCTGACCAGTCGGCGGTCTGCGCTGGCCAGCGGGGCCCCTCGGAGGTCTCTCCGAAGGATTCTGTTCGAACTGGTTGTGGGGCCTCTGCTGGAAGTCACTCGGAGGTCTCTGCTGGAAATCGTTTGGAGGCCTCTGTTGGAAGTCACTCGTAGGTCTGCGCTGGAGGCCATTAGGCCTCTGCTGGAAGTTGTTCGGTGGTCTCTGTTGGAAGCCATTTGGAGGCCTTTGCTGGAAGCCATTCGGAGGAGGTCTCTGCTGGAAGTCACCTGGAGGTCTCTGTAGACCGAAGGAGGCAGACGGCCTAGGTGGCCTGGGAGGAGGCGAAGGCCGCTGCTCTTGGACTGACTTTTCTGTCACCTGACTGGCTTCCTGTCTGTTGTCGGGATGAGTCTGCAGCGGGAGGCGGCCGTCAGAACTCGGACCGGAAGGACTCGGAGGGAAACGTGTCCGGTCTTTGGATGGAGGACCGGAGGTCAGCTGGTTGAACGGCGGGCCCTGAGGGCGTCCCTTGGGGACCGGTCTGCGCTGAGGCGGACCGGGACGGGGGCGTCTGAAGGGAGGCTCGGGAAGGCCTCCGAAGGACTGCGGTGGGGTTCTCTCAGTCGACTGGGTGCTGAAGGGAGGCGGTCGGTTCTGGTTGCGGTGCACAGGAGGTCCGATCGGCCTTCCCTGGAACGGAGGGAAGGGAGTCGAGCCGCTGATGGCGCCCGGCCGAGATTGCACGCTGCCACCGGCGAAGCGATGAGCTCCACCGAATGGCCGCGGGGAGTCCGGCAGGTGGCTCGTGGAGGGTCTCTGTCCGCCATCACCAGATGGTCGAGGCGAGCCGCCCGGCTGTTGGACTCCGAAATGCTGCTGTACGGGACCAGTTGGGGGCCTCGGATGGCCCGTGTTCTTGGGCCCAGAGGGAAACTGCGTGGGTGCCGCACCAAGGTGCTGCCTGGGCGGGAAGCCGGGGAACGGACGCTGGTCGGGGGGACTTCCAGGACGACGAACATCTTCGGAAGGATTTGCTCCGAACGGCGGCAGGCTTCCAGGGCGAGCGGGCTCCTGTCCTGGGCGAGGACGCTGACCGAATGATGGCGGAGGCCTGGGGAGAACGGACGACTGCTGATGACTCGTCGACTCATCGGCTCCAGGGAAGCGGATCTTGCCGCCGCTCGTGGCCTTCTTTTCGGGAGCTGGCGCCGGCGTCGGCGGGCCACCGGGTCTGCGCACGGTGTGCACGACAGACGGCCGCTGCTGAGGAGCCGCGAACGTCGGCCTCGACGGGACCTGCGTCGGCCGCCGCTCTCCCGAGACAAACGTGCCGGACACCACCCGCTGGGACTGAGGCGGCTGAGGCGGCGCTGCGCTCGCCTGGGGCCCAGCTGACGGCTGCGACTGGGGCGCGCTGAAACGAGAAGTGTCCGTGATCGGCTTGAACCCGGACTCGTAGACGACCTCCGATGGCACGGCGCGTTCGGAAGAGGCCTGGACAGACTGCGGGCGGGGGCCCTGGAAGGCAGGCGATGCTGACTGACGGCCCCCTTGAACCTGTGGACGAGTGGCCTGGAACCTCTGGACGTTCGGTCTGCGAATGGACGCAGCAACAGACTGTCGCGGAGGTTCCCGGCCATTTTCTATGGCAGCGGGGCCGTAGTTCTCCCGTCTTGGGCCCCTGGCTAGTTCAGCCTTCGTCAGTACGTCAAATAGCTCGCGCAGGGGTCTGGTCGTGACCTGTTCCGCGGGGAGGCTCGGAACGATAGGCTTGGCAACGCCCTCGGAGGACAGTTCGTTTTCGTTCTGTTCCTTCTCCTCCGCCAGTTTCTGCTTCAGCTTGGTTACTTTATCAGTCAGGTTCTGCTCGGTATCGCTTTCACCGCCATTCGGTGGCCCTCGCTGGTCTGAAAACTGCTGCAGACTATCGGAGCTGGGCTGCTGCGCTGCCTGTGCTGTATCTATGGATCCCGGCGACGCCAGCTGCGGAGCCCGCAGGGGCGGCTGCGGCGCCTGGGTCGGCTCGCGGGGAGGGGCGAACGGCGGGTAGTCGGGGTACTCCTCCGCACTCGGTTTGTAGTAGACGGTTTCCTCCGTACCGGCGTCGGCCGGCTCCTCTGTGGGCCGCGCCGTGCTGGTGGGCGGCCGGGTGGGTCTCCGGCGGCGGCTCGGCCGTCTGGCGGGGGTCGCCGATGTCTCGGTGGTGGACTGCTGCGTGGGTCTGCGCCTCCTCTGGTGGGACGGGCTGTGGACAGGCCGGCGGCGGCGCAGTCCGAACGGCCTCCGCAGCCTCGGGGCCTCCGCGGCAGAGTCCTTCGCCTCAGTGCCCTGCTGGTCGGAGGTGGAGTCGGTGGCCGGTTCCTCGGACTTTTCAGCAGCAGCTGGCTTCTGGCGCCGCCTGATCACAGACAGCCGGGCTGGGTCCCTGGCGGCGCTCAGGCGCAGCTTCTTCCTGCGCTGCCTCAGGAGCGCCAGCCGGGCGCTGTGTCCCCCGCTGGAGCTGCCCTCCTCGGCGTCACTGGCCCGTCCGTCCGCCGGTCCCTGATCCTGACCGCCTGGTTCGCCACCGGCATCACCCCTCTGCTCCGCCTCAGCCTGCTGGTTCCGCTCGCTCGGAGTCGACGTCTGGTCGCTGGGAGTCGGCGTCTGGTCGAAGGAGAGCTGGTCGCCACTGGAGAAGCCTTGCTCGGTCAGGTGGGTCACGTAGCTGGCCAGCTGGGCCGCTCGCGAGCTCTGGCTGTCGCCGTCGGCGGCCTCCCCGGACCGCTCAGAGGCGGCCGGCGCGCCGCTCCTGTCCCAGGCCGGTCCGGGCCACGCGGCGGTCGACTCGCTCTGGTCGGCGAACAGGCCGAACCGGCTGCGGAAGTCGGTGTCGGCAGAGTCTGACGGCCCGCCAACCGCCGCCTGAGCCCAGACGACCACCGGGGCCACCTCGGCGGCGGGTCCGGGCCCGGCCAGGGCTGAGCAGGCGCCGAGCACCGCGGCCAGCGCCGAGAGCTGCAGCAGAGAGACGGGCACGGCGGTCACACACGGGCACAGCGAGACACAGGGCACAGCGTTACACACGGGCACAACGAGACACTAATAGTGGCGACACAGCCGACAAACGGAGCGGCGGCGAGACTTTGAGAACGAAACACAATTGCTGAGTGGAAACAGATATCAAACCATTCTGGAGAATCATGAATACTCCACTGGGACACATATTGCCCACAAAAGTTGTATCCCGTGTTTAGCCTGAAATCAGTCAGGTCCGTTCCATTCACTTTAGCGCTGAGGTTACAACTGGCAAACCTGTCTCCACACTGTTGCAATAAGTCTGACCCATTGCGCGGCGAAGCGCGAGAGCGATGACGTCAGCAATGAGCCTGCTTTACTAGCATGACGTCACCTGATATCTGAGAAATTGACAGGTTTGACCTGACCCGTGACCTCAGCTGGCTGACCGGAAGCGGAGCTCACTACCATACCCGTGCCGCTGTCCGTTATCCAAACTGGTTCGTGACAAGCTCATTGCAAAAAATAGGCCAGCTATTGCAACGATGAGCATTGGGCATATGCGAACAGGAAGCCAGGCATTAGCGCAGCATTTGCATATTATTGGCTGATAGGATTTAAAGAAACAGTTGCTGCAAATGAATGTGCAGTTCCGAATGAACTGGAATATGAGATGTGAAGCAATGCGCTTCGATGCAGCCAGTAGGTTGTTTGGTTTGATTCTAAAAGCATTCAACCTATTTAGCTGGGTGCTCTTTCATATGTTTCCATGAAACCACACATAAATAGTTAACAATGTAAAATAATATCCCAATAGTATATACGTCACGTATTCCAGAGACGAGCAAAAGCATCTTAAGGTTGTCAATATGACAAAATACAAATAAACGTTCACATGAAATGATTTCCTTGCTCGGTTTCTTTATGTACGCGTAAGATGATCAGCGTAACCTTCTCCAAATACATAGTATCATGAATTGTAGCGGTAAACCATTTTTTAGGATTTTCAGAACTGGCAGATTCCGTGCTAGAAAACCTAGTTTCGATAATTGTGATAAGAAAAGTGAAACATGCTGAAGAAAGTGGCAGAACTGCCTGAAATAAAAATAAATTGAAAAACCTATGCCGCACAGCGGTTCACGTGTCACTTCGTTTGAGCCGTTCACGTCAGAAAATATTTTTCAGTCACCCGTGACGGTCTGTAAAAACAGACAGGTGCGCACCACAAAAGGCCGCCACTGTTTCCGACGCCGGCGGCCCGGAGCGGTTTGACGTTCTCACTCCATGGCGCGCCACAGCGAAGGGCGTCACTCGGCACTCGACACAGGGCGGTCGGATTATTCAGCGGCTCACTGCTGATCGGCGGCCTCCACCCGTGTCCGATAGACAGAGCACTGGTCACTAACCGTGAGTATCCGTGTTCGCGCCATGGCGGCTGCGAGCCCTGTGTACGGGCCGGTGTCCAATGATACACTGCCGGTGGCCGGCGCCCACCGGGCCAGATATAGGTCATTGTTCGACGGCCCCCTCCCCGTCTCGGCGGCTTTCCTGCCGGGTTGCGCGGCACACCGGAAAACCGGTATACCGGAACCGCTGGGCTGTCCGCGCCGCGAGCCGCCGGCAGCCGCGAGTTGGGCAAGGAGTCGGCTCTGAGGAGGCGGACCTGCGCCCCCGGATTTCGGCGGCCTTGACCCCGAGCTGAGCAGACGCCGTGTCCGGCCTGAGTCACCGATCCGCGCCCGGGCCAGGATGAGACTGCTGGGCATTAGTGTCAACAGGTGTTGTGCAAGGTGGGCGCATCTACTAATGAATAGCATGCACATTGCACAGTGCTCATTGCACAGCGTCCATTGCACACAACTTCCGGAGGAGTTGTGCGTCATCGATACGTGGGCGGCTGGGGCGTGCTATGGCCTGGCTGTGATACTGTTACGCGGCGTTTCGCATTTGATTGTTTGATGTTGGGATGTGGTGTCGATGCTGATTTTTGTCGTGGTACCGTGATTTTCTTCCTGTTTCCTTTGGTTCTGGTCGTGATGCTCGCAACTAGTCTTCCTGTTTTCTTTGTTCAACATCATCGCCGCCGCGTAACGCCTCTCACGCTCGTCCGTCAGTTTGTCGGCAGATCATTAAGCAGTTTAGATTCCCAAAGCCCAAAATGCATAAAAGCAACAAGCTGTCGTGACTGACTAATTTTGTTTAAGTCTGAATTGTGTCAATTTGCACTCTCATATCTCGGTAAACGTTCAGTGCCTACGCATCATAGGTAAATTAAACCAAACAAAGCGCACCAATAATGCCAGGAAAACTCAATAGCCCCATTTACTGTTCAGCTACAAGCACGTTACGGAACTGTGAAGACAGAGGGAGGGAGAGAGAGGGAGAGTGAAAGAGAGAGAATAAGAGTGAGTGAGTGAGTGAGTGAGAGAGAGAGAGAGAGAGAGAGAGAGAGAGGGAGAGAGGGAGAGAGAGAGAGGGAGAGAGAGAGAGAGTGGGAGAGAGGGAGAGAGAGAGAGAGAGAGAGAGAGAGAGGGAGGGAGAGAGAGAGAGGAGGCTGTTTAGTTTCGACAACTATCGATTCGGCGTTCATGCCATAAAACGGCTAGCGGACACGACGAGTGATCACGGCCACACTTGTCCAAGTACCGGTTTCCTCTCGAAACTTGTCGACTTTGGTGACCTGATGAGACTTTGTTAGACGCGCGGAGAGAACAGGCTAAAGGCAAGTTACTAATTCGTTCGTTCCGAGCTAAAGTTGCATCGGTCAAGTACGTGTGGTGACACTTGTCGATTCTGTACTGGGTGGAACGAGACAACAATCACAATAAAATGACGCCTCGCCGGTCCTGCGGCGCGCGCGGCTCGGCGCGGCTGTAAAACGATTACCGATTTGGACTGTTACCAAGCGATGAGTGCAGTGGCACCTGCACACTGTCGGTCGGCTGTACTGAGAGCCGTGCTATTCTCTCTGGGATTGCGTATCGATTTCACTGTTCAGCGTCATAAACGAGCAGCTGGTGATGCTGTGCGACTGGTGGACACGCCCGGGCAATACAGGCCCACTCAGAGCGGTCATAAACAATATCGATCAAGGGTAGTTCATCTGACTTTTTGGCAAGTGTTTAATGGTCGGGATGGGCAGCTAGCATCATTATCTCTGGGCTTCCGCAACTGACATTATTACATTCATGCACCTCTCGTTCATTATCCAGGTCATCCTGGAAGCAGCCTATAGCCCAAAATTGACTACAGAGTGGGCCTACTCTGAAGGCAATTAGGAGCTTCCGTGATGAGCTTGTAATAACCACATTCACACAGCAACCATACTTCGGAAGTGGATCCCAGAAATTAGTAGCCCCCTCCATGCGGCTAATCATGGCACCACCATACAGCCCCGTTACATGCGATACCCCTTTGTCGTGACCCATTGCGGGTCACGGAACTCTAACCACCTCGGGAGTACGCCCGGAACATCTTCAATACCTCGGGAATCGCCCGGAATATCTTGCCACCTCGGGAGTACGCCCGGAACATCTGTAACACCTCGGGAATCGCCCGGAATATCTTACCACCTCGGGAGTACGCCCGGAACACCTGTAACACCTCGGGAATCGCCCGGAATATCTTACCACCTCGGGAGTACGCCCGGAACATCTTTAACACCTCGGGAATCGCCCGGAATATCTTACCACCTCGGGAGTACGCCCGGAACACCTGTAACACCTCGGGAATCGCCCGGAATATCTTACCACCTCGGGAGTACGCCCGGAACATCTTTAACACCTCGGGAATCGCCCGGAATATCTTACCACCTCGGGAGTACGCCCGGAACATCTGTAACACCTCGGGAATCGCCCGGAATAACCACCACGAAATTCACCCGGATATCAAACAACGGCGTCAACGTAAAGCATCACCCCTCATCTGGGCGAGCGAATCAGACACGCACACTGCGCCGCCGCTTCTCACCAGGGGCGGCGCAGGGAATCGAACAACGACGCCTGCCCGTCTCGCCGCCGTATTACGACGGTACGGGCCCAAAACTGGATCTGACCTTCAGCCAGCCAATGGCATGACCCCAGACATTCGGAAATGGGTGGAGACATGCAGCTGATATCTCATGCAACGACCAACACTGCCTTAAGTACAAATGCGCTGCTCTGACCCCAACAGAGAGACCCATATCTTATTTCTCATTCCCCGACAATTGGAAAAGTGTAATCCAGTCGATTGTGTATACCGTACCAACACGCTTCAGCTCGCTTCCATGGAGAGGTAATTACGGCCACGCATGGCCAGCCGTCGCTGTCTCATTTATGGGGGGGGGGGGCAGTAAACCCAGCGCTCACAGAGCAGTCGGGAGATCTGGGTTGGTGCTGTAGAAACTTTACAGTAAATAGGCGTCACACACCATTACATGTGTCCTAGAAGTCGGACTCGTCGCAGCCCTCACTGGTGCAGGGCATGATGTCGGCAATGACAATAAGTAGTAATAATCTACCCCATTCGATATAATGGTAACGACTGGACTATTTTCCTGGTAAGGGCGGCTGGTGTAACGCCAGGCCGTATGTCTCTCTTAACCACTACAATTGTTATCCCGTAAATTAGTCGCTGAATAGAGGAATGGAGCCAACTGACAATGACTGTTTATCTTATTGACTTGGTCCCAAAATCGTTCGGTTATCTGCTGCACTAACAATTTGCATAAATTATAACGATGCGGCGTCCCCTACCAAATGGCTGACGCTAAATAGGCGAACCGGCGCGCCTGGAATTCTGTTGAGTTTGGCGGAGTGATATTGACGTAGTTTACCAAATGTGCCAGACGCACTGAATGTCAATTAGGTGAATAGTCCTTAAGCAAGTATAGGACATTACTAAATGATAATGATACGGCGTCCCCGAAACTAAGCGGCTGCGACTAATTGGGTGAACGGCGCGTCTGGAGTTTTACTGAATTAGGCAAAGTTATATTGACGTAGTTAACCAAATCTACCAGTCACACTGAATGACAATAAGAGGGTTCTTCAACCAGAACAACTGAACAAATTGACAATAGAATAAATTGACATCTACGTAATGCCCCATTGGCATCAATTTCACTGCTGAGAGTCACTGCACCGAAGGTATAATTCATCACAAAATTAAAGCGGGCATCGCGATTACGTTTTGAGGGAAAGCTAACCAGTAATAAAACTAGACACTATATCCGTTCCTAATCATGCGTTTTTCTATGCCTGGGTTTCATCTAGAAAACGTGCCTTTACCGAGAAATATAGTAAAGTTGGAAATCAACGTACTCCGCACTTAACCATGCCGTATTATATGAAATAGAATGCAAAACGTTCAGCCGCAAAACATTGAATGCGTGTGTAGGGCGTAATTGACTAACAGCATTGCGTAATTTGCTTTGTTGGAAACGTAGGAGTTTAAATGATAGTAATAAATAATTAAGCCAGAATTGTTCATTGTTTTACATCGCTGCCCGTTCACACGATTGTAACTACGAAAAAGTAGTACCAGGGGGGGGGGGATTTTCAGTTTATGGCGGAAATTATTTGACATGTTTGCTTAAACTTCCGAAACTTCGTATAATAGAGCGTTCTGGGTTCGTTGTCAATTTGCAAGGTTTTCTTGGTGAAATAGTTAGTAATTTATAAGGTTGTCGTAACTTGTTTGTAACATGTTGAGAGGTTTCGTGGATTGTAATCACGATTGTTAGTAATTACGGTCTGTAACTCAAGTTTTCATCACTTTTCGTTATTTACTTCAGTTCTGTTAAAATCAGCCTTTGATTTTTAATTCATCAATAATGAACTTACTGCAAAGTTTCCGAGTACCACGCTATTGTAAAGTATGCTAGTACAAAATGAAATATGGCTCTCGTCAATGTAGGAGGGAATGTGGCGAAACATGTTTAGTTCGAACCGCGGAAATCAGTAAATCGGTAGGGCCGGTTACTTGAACGATTTTATTGCCACCATGGTATACCGGTTTCGATTTGGCTCAGTGAATTATTATTGTACACAATCCATTGAATTACTTGTTGCAGATTTCTAGAACCCTAAATTACTCGACAATATACGTTAATCCGTTAACGAGTCATCTACGGAAAAACAAAACAGAAACATCGAACGCTCAATCATTACTTCAAATCTGGGAAGGTGTTTCATTTTGAACCTCCTTGAGCTGCAATTGATGAATAAGCGAACTGAGACCTACTAGCAAGTAACAACTATCCGGATAATTGCGAATGCATACAGGAAAACTACCGTCAAATGGCATGCTGAGCTCCGAAGATTTTTTTTTTTTTAAACAAGATGTTGATTACTGAAATTATCTGGTATTGTCAGTTGACGTCATCCAAGCGTTAGTATGAGCTAATGACGGCAGGTTAATAGCAAAGTAATAAGAGGACAACCCCCAGATCCTCAACGCTCAAATCGACCCACTCCCCTTGATCTTTGACCGAGATATATCCTTTGTTAGCCTTGCTACCCAAGTATAGAC